TAGCATATTATCCTTTCTTTCAAATATATATATACCATGTTAATTATCTGCTTAAATACGAGTAAACAAAAAATAATTTGATGCGACATTATAGTTGACAATTATAATAATGTTGGCAATTTATGAAATGAATAGTCGTGTTTTTTAGAGTGCCTTGGCCCTTGGGGACATGTTATAGGCTTATTAGCAGAATTGCATAAGGTGTTGAGTGTAGAACATGTGAGCTGACAGTTGTTACAGAAACAAAACGATGTCATTTCATCAATCACATGACTCACAGCCCAACAAAAGCTTTCAAAATGAGAGTTGTTTAATTCCCAATTAGCCCATGGCTAAAACTGTAATTACAATTTATATTTTTAAAATAATTGTCCATTAATTACATATCACACACAATTGCATGGAAGCCGCGCTTGGAGATCTCATAAGAAGGTTCATTTTTAATTGCAAGCAATCTCATATTCCCCAAATCTAAAGGACTTGTTTGGAAAATTCATTCAAAATGCTTTTCTTTTCTTTTTTTTCAACAAATATGGAGTCAACAAAAACATCTGTAGTTTAAAAAATGTATTTTAAAAAACGTCATAATTTTTTTTTTAACAAATATGGCATAAATTTGTATTATTCTTATTTTCTTTTACATTATATTTGAATATGAATTGTGTTTTGGATATGTTATTTATCGTAAAATTTTAAACCTCATAATTATTATATTTAAAAATACATAGTATTAAATATATGTATATATTGTGTGGGTTTTTTAATTTAAGAAGGGACTAATTTAATTCTTATTTGCAAAATATTACACATCACGTATATTCTTTAACACAAATTTATTGAGTAAAATATCATGYTAAAATGAGAATTAAAATAAATGAAAAAAAATAAAAATAAAAGAACCTAATTGTTAACTTCTAGAAAAAATTAAAATGAAAAAACAAAAGTCGAGAGCAACAAGGACAGAAATAATATTTAAAAGTACCATTTAAATATGGAAACTTGTAGAATAGTAGATTGTTTCTAATAAATGCCTTTGGCCTTGAGTTATTTTTTTAATTTATTTATATAATAAATATTGAATACTAATTTAAAAGAAAGCTCATTAGGGTTTGTACGGAGGAAGCTTACGGCACAAGGATGGTCTGGTTATACGTACCTGGGCAGTTTACTTCTATGTTCTGCAACCGTCTCCTCCGCCGCAAACTTCTTCGGCTCAACTCCCCATCCAATTCATCCTCCTGGATTATATGGATATAGATTAAATAGATTCAACAATTTTTCCCCCACTAAAATTATTTTCAATTAATTTATGTCACAACATCGAAAATATTGTATAGTGTATAGCATGATTTTCAATTCAACTCATGCCATGTCATTAAATAGTGATGATAAGAAATTGGTAATTAATTATAAATATATATATATAAAGTACCCGAAATTGGTTTAATGATCAAAACATTGCCAATTTTTTTTTTCACAATTATACACGTCTTTTTCACAGATTTTATATTTTCAATTTACATATAATTAACGAAATGTATTTTCTATTTAGATAATCAATATTAGTTAACTACACAGGGACTAAAGAAGCGAAACCATTGATGATTGAAAAACCATTTGTGTGACGATAATTAAGGACTGCTAAATTGAGCCTCTTAAAACTACAAATATCGAATTAAAACCAATTTGAATATAATACATGATTAGAACGAGGGGTTTCTCGTATGAAGATTCAGTTGAACTGAATCCTCAACTAACATTCAGATACTGTCAAATTAATCCAAAGAGCAAATACGAACAGTAGAACTGATCATCAAGAAACCTCCAAGAAAATTAATGGCTACTCCTCCGACTCCCATTTTCTTCTGCTCCCAATGCCTCGCCTTCTTCTTCCTTGTCTTTTTCGGATCAACACCATCCATCACCGCCCATCCAAATTCCCTTCTTCACCAAGGTAATTTCTTCAACTCATCTTTTTATATTAATATATATCAATTGTGTATTGATTTCATGGAAATGGAAATTTCAAGATCGGGCGCCGAGTTACCTGAAGTTGGTTTCGAACGCGACGGCATTCCCACAAGAAGACTACTACGACTACATAATCGTCGGCGGAGGAACAGCCGGCTGCCCGTTGGCGGCCACGCTGTCACGCAATTTCCGAGTTCTGGTCCTTGAGCGCGGCGGCGTTCCACACGGCCACTCCAATCTCATGTCTCAAGAAGGTTTCT